CCGTTCGGCTTGTCCGAGTCCCTGTGGCACCGACGAGTCGAGACCTGCCGGCGAGGCTGATGCTGTCGCAGTCGGCTGGCCACCGAGCGCCGAGGCCATGCCTCTGCACCGTCTTCAAGGCAGCCACGAGGCGAAGAAGTCAGTCGGTCTCGGGTCGTCGAGTCCAGTTGCGCAGACGCCGTCGCCTCGAGGGGCAGGAGGTGAGGAGAACCAAGCTTCTGGCCACGAAGCTCAAGTTCAAGGATCCACGACGTCGACGGGGTCACAGTCACAGGCCATGAACAGCGATGGTGCAGAGGTGGTAGGCTCAAGTTCACTTGAGACGAAGGACCGGATGGAATATCATTTTGCGAGTCTGAAAACCCTCATGGAGGTGAGGACTTCTCGCCTAACTAGCCAATTGTTCAAATAAGGGCAATTTGGGTCTTTAAAGAGGTTGTGCGACTCCAATCTCCATTTCGAGTGAAGGACTTCGTCAATTGGTCTCACTCGAAATTGATGCAGGCTTGAATGTCGTCAAGTGAAGCCATTTGGATCTTGCCAATAAGTTCTCGGCTCATCACGATTTATGCATACACAGTTAAAGCAAGCCTTGGAAACCTGGAACTTTGCAATAATCAATTCTTACTTGATATGTAGAAAAGTGGCTTTGGAAGGACACCTCAATAGAATGATGTTGGAGTACCTTTAATTTCTTTTAAAGAGACTAGTGGAAAGGATTCGTAAGTTGGAGCTACCGGGAGCTTTGAAGTAGTGCTTGTGGATTTGTGCAAGTAAGTCCTCGACGTACTGCTCTGTAACTCAGGTGAATCCTTGTTGCGCTTTCGTCTGTCGTGTGACGGACATCGTCTTTTTGCTGAATTATCGTTCAGCATGGCATCCTGCTCTGATGATGTCCGTCACATGTCGGACGAAAGCTCAGCAAGGTTGCATCTGGGTCGCGGACCTATTCGCACAAATCCACCCTTCCACTCGCCTCTTCAAACGAAATGAAAAGTAATCCAGCATCAATGCATTCTTACGATTTTGTAAAGTTGGTAGCTGATCAGACGATATAACGAGAAGAGTGGTTGGTAAGTTTCGATAGTGTCTATGCACACTAATATTCCGATTGATGAGGCAATTAAGGCTTAAGATCAACTTTAAATCATATCCTTGACTCATAAATGGTAAAATGTGAAGCATATTCAAACATTAGACTAATCATTTTAGCCATTAATTGTGTATAATTTATCTCGAATGGCAAGTTGTACGAGCAAGCACTGGGCTTGGCTATGTGATCCTGTTTGGCTCCTATTTTGGCTAATTACTAAATCGCTCAATTTGAGATTTGTTTGCTTCCAAATGCCTTCCTAATCCCAAAGCTATTATCTTGGCATTTGGAGGATTACTTTGCTGTTCGGCAACATGGCATGTATAGATTGAAGGAGTTCCTTGAGCTGATAAATAGAAAGAATGACAATACTAAATTTGCTCTCGATTTATAAAAGGAGAATAACTTTCCTTTTCTGGATGTACTAATGAAAAAAGAAGGTAACAACCTGTACAAAGTCGTGTATAGGAGACCCAGACGCGAGTTTCCTTATCATTTTCTTATCCAATCATACAAATGGGGTTAAAGTAGTAGTTATTAAATCAATGATAATAAGGAGCCTGCGTCGAACAGACGTAGGCCACAGGGCCCAGGAAATCGGTAGATTGCGGCATATATTGTTTCAACCCGATTATCCATTAAGATTGATAGATAATAATTGCATTTCACTACTCAGACCGAGATAAGGGTAGATTGTTATTTGAGACACGCGGGGTAGATAGACGATTCTACTCAGTTCCTGATGTTGCCTTCCTGTTAGCTTGCGACTGAGAAAGGGTAACAGCAGAATAATGTACAAAGGGAAGATAATACTTTCTTTAGTCATGCCTTCCTTTCGAGAATTTTCCGACCCTCTTCCTGGATCAAGCTGTTACAAGGTTTTGTACTCATGTGATAATGTCTATGTAGAGGTAGGCATGAATTAGTTATAACTATCAGATAGGCTTAAGGAGAGAGAGAGAGAGAGAGAGAAAGAGAAAGAGCGCAGCAAGAAAAAGAATCCACTTTGGGCTCTCACATCCCTCATGACATTACACACATTACACAAACGCAATAGACACTAATGCATACTTATATATGAGTGATCATTATATTCAAAGTCAGGTTATAGGAAGTATAGTATTTATTTGGGTGAATTTAATTAAAAAATGGTTTTGTTGGTCTGACGGTGTCTTTGGCGGCGATACAGTGGACTATGAGGCTTTATGCTCAATTCGATCATCACAACTGAGGCCAATCTACGAACCCTTTCGGTCCAACTTTCTAGGCTGAAATAGAATAGCGGATAAACTGAAAGTTGAGATAAAAGTCACCTCGATAGTGTCTGGTTGATACGGATCATAGTTAGTACTGTCTACAACCAAAGGGGATAAAAGATGGTATCCGCCATTTTTAATTTTCGAACTAGGCTGTCTCCGACACCAACTCAAAAATGCAGTGACCAACACAATTGACAATCCCACTATAAAAATGTGATTTGTGCTGGGCCTGAGTTGCCTCTAATGCCACATTTTGCCTTATGATCCTCTGGCACCTGTGGGTGTACAGTAATTTGGTCACATTGCCATGACGCTCACTCCTCTTAATCAACCATTTGGATCGAAGATTATTTTAACTCATTTAACAGATTAAGTGAAGATCACGTGTTTTTCCTGTCGGTGCCGCTAGGGTAGACGTAATTGCGAGTTGCTGCGGCAAATGTGTGTCGATTCGCTCATGCGGTATAGGATCATGAGGTAGAGAGTAGTGTATGAGTAGTAGGAGGCGGGCTAAGTCCTGGTGTATACCAAAAAAGGTATGCAAATATGGTCACGGGAACAGGAACAAATGTACACATGCTTCGGACAGAGGGGCTAGGCTCGAGGTTGGCGGAGAAGGAAAATGGCCTTAAATCTGTCTGAAGTAATGAAATGTTCCTGTGACTTGCTGAGGCCACGCCCAGTTCAACGAGTGGTCGTGCTGTTACTTTCGAGGCGAGTACGGCCGGGCAAAGGGTGGCGGAACCCAAAAGCGCCTGTAGAGGCTGTTGGGTTCGAAAAATCAGAGCTAGCAGGGCACAAGGCGGAAACTGGACACAAGATTGAATGGTATCAAGCTTCTCGCTTTGCTGATTATGGTATGTCTCCACATGAAATTAGCAAAGCCATCGAAATAAACCGAATAGGCAAAAAGTTAAGTAAAAACTATTTGTGCTTACTCAATAGGCTCATGGATAGAGAGCGTTTTGAGGCACCTGAAAAAGGTGATTTATCTGGTATTTCTTGTATTGGTTCTAATTACGGTCACTATTGCACACATTTTAGTTATATTTATAGTCATTTTATATACATTATTAGTTAATACC